TATATATATATATATATAATTATTAAACTGTCGTGAAAAAGATTTTGTCAAGCTCTTTATACTCCGGAAACTACGAAAACATTAATAACATAATTGTTCTGTGATGTATTTACACTGAATGTTTCAAATCAAGTAGTCTTTCTTTGGGATCGACCTTATTTATAGGCTACGTTTCGCCAAGAAAAAAAAATAAAGTCGTACATCACAGAATATATACCTAAGATTAAGAAAAAGAGGAGCAGAGAAACGTGTAAGAAAAGAAAGACCTGGTAACAGTTCTCCTTCTGGCATTCTTTGTACATTGAATCGTCGTATGTATGTTCTTAAGTGCACCTAAGACCATACGTTTCATACACATCTTGTCGTTGTAAAAGTGGAAAGGAAATTGCTCGGTTTGGGTGATTCACTCCGTTACGAGAAAGCAGGGAAAGGGATAGGGCGGAATATCCGCGAAGATTCAGCTTCACATTGAAGCGTCTATCATTATCGGCACTGAACGCGAATCTATGTGAGGGTGGAGGAGAGGAGAGGGAGCAAATCGTTATCCGATTTGCACCGTGAGGAGATACACTCTCTTCTTGCGTTTCTTATCACACTCTTACATATAACGACGAAAATGGAGAGGATCTTGTATAACCGCAACTTTGGATTCTCGATAAACACACAAAACTGGGCACATATGTAGAACGTAAAATTTAATTTCTTGATTTTTAAAGAATCTCTCTAGACCATCACCCGAACCCTTAGAGCGTCAATGTGCAAATTGAATAAATGTGAATGCTCTCTTTCTGGTAATTATTCTCAAAAAGTTATAACGCTTATCTCGTAATGTGCTTAAAATCGTAGCTTTTATCACGTTTCGTCCTGCGATTTATATTTCACGCGTTCTACGATTTATCAATAATTGCAAAATCTCTAACCATCGGTATATCTCTTCACAATTACCACTGGATGATTTCGAGATTAGATCTTATCTTCGTTATCGTATTTCTGATTCTTGTCGATAAATTACGCTTTGGATTCCATCTTTTCCCATCTTGAAAACCTTCGCATATCTTTGTATAGATATCACTCAATAGCCGATGTGGAACCCTTCTTACGTCGAGGTCATTTCGCCGCCGGCTCCCAGTCTGCCGTGATGCAATTACGCACAATCATTGCGTTCCTACCATCGCTAGGTCCCGCGTCACTTCCTCTCTTCCGGCTCCTGATTGGTTTTAACGAGATTGTATGCGTGACTTCTGTACTTGGCAGGTGGGTCGTGTAACGATAGGGGCTGCTGCTGCTGTTCGTTCGGTTGGTTCATGCTGGACATTGAGAGATCCGTCGGCATGTCCACTTCCGGTTCAGCCTCGGGACTTCCGGAAAGAGTCCTTTCCTCCTCTGGTTCCGACTTTATTCGCATCTGATGGCGCAGCGATGATATGTTCTTGATGTTTTTCAATTCGACCGAATTACGCAAGAATCTGCAAAGAACATAGATGACACATTTTCTTTTTGCTCAAAGATAATTTTTTTCATATTAAATGAGAAATTTGTATTTCTTGTGTTGAAAATTATTCTTGTTCATAAAAGCAGCAGCAAAGATAAATTTTGATATTAATTTTATTGAAATTATTTCAAAATTAGTAAACTCATATTTATATCTCTATCGCATTTTTTGTATGACAGACTAATTATTTAGAGTATTTAATAATAATAATAATAATAATAATAATAATAATACTTACTGATAACAATGACGTTCGCCTTGTACTTTTCTAAGTATGTTCACGCGGTAATAATAACGTAGAGCTCTGCTCATTTTGTCGTAATTCATAGAGAGATGATTTTTCTGGATGCCCCAGAGTCGCGCTAGACCAGGTGGATCGACAATCTTGAAGACGCCAGTATCTCGACTTTTCCATGAGATATAATGCTGGTACCGTTGCGCGGGGTCGTTCAGCAATTGCTGAAGGAAGTCCCAGAGCAGTCTTCCGTCTAAACAGAATGACGGAAATTGTGCTACAATGTGAATAACAATCATGGGAAGGTTAAAGTAATGATATATATATACACACTTCGACATTTTATATTTAAAATATTCCATGCTATTGCAGATGCAAGTGACGTTAAAAGAATGCTCGAAAGATTATGGCATTCTTACAATTAATTATTTCTGTAGATTTAAAAATCGCAATAGTAAATACTAACTGGTGTTGGGTTCTGACGAATCGTTAGGGAAGAACTCTCTGTTCGTGCTGGTAGCCGATCGAAAGGTACCGGGCGTCAGCGGCATCAACTGGTGCGGTAACGTTGGGCTCGGTTGGTCCTTGACGCTCACCTCACTGAGCCTCTGTGCCGCCAATGCGGTCGGTGTAGCCGGTGGACTGCTATTGCCGCTTGACACCTGGTGAGTGTTGTCTTCGTCCGAATCGCTCTTATAGACTTGCGTCTGATTCGCATCGGTCGCGTGACTGGGTGAACCCGACTGACTGTCCACAGACGGTGCTGGCGATAGTGTCACTGAGTTAGCCGACATTAACGAGGCGAGATTCGAGGCGTATGGTGGCGTCTCCGTCCACGTTGGTGTAGGCGGATGCGAATGTGGACTCAGCGGATATGTGGACGGTCTGGTTGGTGTCACCGGACTGCTCGGTAGGCATCTCTGTACCTGACTGTAATCACGCACCAGCATTGTCAGCACGTTGTACAGCACGTCGCCAGCGCTCGGACACCTCTCGCCCATATCGGCCTTGGTCAGCAAGCACAGAGCCTTGCCGTTCATCTGGAACATTTCCATGTCGAACGGTGGCAGGTCGAATTCCCGTTCGGCCCACCGCAGGAACGCCACTACGTCCTCCTTCGACCACAGTCTAGGGTCGGACACTGAAAGGAGAGAAGATGCCATTGGTTGTATTCGCGGTGACCTTTGTAACCACTATGCGGTTTAACATCGTAAACACGCCTTCATAATTAATTCACTGATTCCTATTTCTTTTAATGAAATTAATAGCAACGTATTAATATTAATATGAATAATACGAATTAATCGAGGAATTAATCTAAAAGAATTGTACGAGTATAATAGCAATTAAAGTGCAGTAAAGAAAATCTTCCTCGGCTTCGTTTTTATTCGAGTAAACTTTATACAAAAATTTTACGGGACTGGAAACGGATAGTAAAGCTTTAATTTTGTAAATTTGTGAAGGGATTATTTTTAACTTTTTTATAACACTTACCTAAACTCGTTGGTAGATGAGTTTTAAAATCCAAGAGGGGACTGGGCGGTGGATGCGTTGTAGGCGGGAAACCCATCGTGGGCCCGTATTGGGCCCTCCAGATTGCCCATTCCGGACATATAGGCAAAGATATACCCGGAGGCAGCCGAGGTTCCATTCCGGCCATTCCGCCAGCGGCGGAAACCGGCGGTAGCTGCGATATCTGAATTGGTGGCAGCAATTTCATAACACGCCCTCGGATCTACTAATTGCTTCTGTAACAGAAGAAATAAATAAAATTTATATAACATGTCTGATTTTTTAAAATCCTGTGATTCATTTCATTTTGTAATTAAGCTCGATTATACACATGGAAAGAACAGTTTTGCTGAAGTATCTAAAAATTTAACTGTATATAGATACAGATCTAAAAATAATTTGCTACACTGTTAAAGTAATATAGGACGCTTAAAATAATTGCTAGGCTATTAAAATTTTTGCAACATTACTCATTCTCTGAATGTCCTTCATAATTATTTTAATAGTCCAACAAAATTATTTTCTAATCTGTATCCAGCTAAAATTTTAGACACTCCAAAATTGTTTTTTTTTCTGTGATATACAAATTTAATATAAATCGATTTAGCATAATCTTTAATCTTGCAAATATTTTATATTTGTACAAAATGCACCTTTACAATTTAATAATTAGTTGGACAATAAAGTATCGTTCTTCCTTCGGACATTATGTCTTCATTAAATCAACTAGATGCAACAGTATCGTTCGATCTATTTAGCGAGCGCGTAACACGAAACGATGTCGACGTCATTTCGACGCTACAGGCGCACGAAAGTGATCTCTATATTTATTTACGACCATGGAGACGCAACACTGTGTGACGTAAAGTGCAATCTTCCGTATCTATACCGTCGAAAATCGATCCCCCTGATATATAGCGCTTTACCTCGTCTAACGATCGGTTCGTCGATGTAGAACGATGGAAGATAATAATGCCAGATTACAGTTACACGTCAGTTTCTTACAATGTGGACGTGGAACAAGCAAGATGATTCAAGAAGAGAACAAGGAGACGAGACGAAAAGAGAATGGAAGAGAAGCGTCGCGACGGCGACGTTTTGAGGCGTCGTCGTTCTCAATTTCCTGATCGGCAACCGGTTCGCAGACGTTCGACTATTAGCATAGAATGTGGGGGCATAAGAATGAAAGCCGGCAGGAAACATGGATTTACATAACGTATTTCCATCGACGTCGACGAAGCTATTTCCGTTCTCGACGTCGGCTCGCGGAGACCCGAGACCGCCTAAGCAAAACTTCTTATAACCAACATGGAGATTCACTTTTGAACTTGTAACGAGTTATGCTGTTCATTTCGAAATTTTTCCACTTAATTGTTTCCAGAATCATTTAATTTGTCATTGTTGACAACATATGTCGGAACTAAAATTGTTTCATACTTTGAGAAATATTTCTGATTAAAACGTGAACGAACCAGAAGATTTTAATCATATCAATCAAAATCCCGACAAAAATTATCTCGACAAAAATTATAATCAGAAATTTTTGATTCGTCCATTTTCAACCAGAATTCCAATTAACGCAACCAGATTCTTTTTTCAGATTTTTTTCAGAGTAATCTTTGACTTAAGAGAATTTGCCATTAAAATTCAAAGTTAGTTTGTAAAGTTTATATCAATTTTTATAGGATAAGAGTTCTTGTGATCCAGAATAGTATACGGAAGCTCTCGCAATAATATTACATTAGAATGTAAACAAAAAGAATCTAATTGGGAAGGTAGGTTAAAGTAATGTAGCTTCTTCATCGGGGGGGGGGGGAATGAGGCTATTTGCATGATAATCGTATGTTTATAATCCATGTTTATAATCCACTCGATTAGATATAATTATTAACGTACCGGTGCGCGATTGCGCTTAATGTTGCGGCGTGTTACAACAGCTACTTACACTTTGACTTGGTGACATTGTAATATGAAAAAATCGCGGTTACTATCTGATTTAATGTCTCATAGCAAATGGACTTATGATAGGAAAAAGCCTATTGACGTCACCGTATGTTCGATATTATCGAGGCTATATAAAATTGTACTTGACAACTATTGTAATACAATACTATTATAACATTCTACATATTTAATATTATCGCTGTTGAAGATTTCGGAACAATAAGCAAGTCTATTCTGTGTCTTATAAAAAAGAAATGCTATACTTACACACAGAAGTACAACACTTTCATTTTATTTTATCTTTTCTATTTCTTTTTTTTCATCACTGCATATTTATATTATGTCAATTATTGCTGTAAATGGGAATAAATACAAGTAAAAATTCATTTTAAATTAAAAAAAAACCGGTCTGCCATCATTTTTTGTCCAAGATATTTTAGGTGATCGATCGGTTCCGGAATATTTTCAGCAAAAAAAATTCTTCTCGTGACACTTCGAAAAATGATCGGAGGAAGCTCTTGGCGGCACAATTGCGGCGCGATGCTCGCTCGAGGAGAGAACAACAGAGGGAGAGAGAGAGAGAGAGAGAGAGAGAGAGAGAGAGAGAGAGAGAGAGAGAGGATTGCCCTGAGGGAAGAAGGCAGGAACCTCGGCATGCGAAGGTCGATGTGCCGTTGTCTCGCACCAGGAAATCCTGGTCGTCTCTTCGGTCTCCCCCTCTTCATTCCTTTAAATACCGCGAGTAAGCGGCCTTATACTCAGGTGCTCCTTTCGGTCGGCGATTTTTTGCGACGCGGTTAATTAAAGCGGCTACTTGAAGCGACGTCGAGGGATGAATTTAAGGATAATCTTTGCATCGCACCTGTTTCGAGACATAATTGCTTATGCACGCTTCTTGATGGCTATCACTCCGAATTACACAAGATGAAAGATCCACAAATATGAGAATCTTTGATGGTCATCAAAAATTGAACGTCTTAGGTGATAAAATTTCAAAATATCCTTTGATGTTACCGCAGCTTTAGGGTTGTGTCACATCCTAAATTTCTCATTATAAAATTCCATAATTTTTTCTTGATTTCCAGATAAAATTTCATGATTTTCCCTGATGTATTCAATAATATATCGATTTTTTTCCTCATTGTTCCTGATTTAGGAATCACCAAATATTTTTTGAGAGAGCAATTTAACATAGAAATGTAAATTATTATTAATGTTGCTGATATTGCTTGCATTTAATTGTTAGTAATATATAACTTCTGAGATACAATGTACGTAATTTTTGATTTTAAATTTCTTTAAAATCAAGAATTTTAATTTTCTAGAAAATTGTACAAAATTCTATGACTTTTCCCTAACAGTTCTCTGACCATTTTCAATTTCCTTGACATTTCTTTGATTTCCAGTTTTGCGGCGGCAACCAATTTAAATTTCGACCGAGACAATTTTAGCATATTGGAATGCGTTCTCGAGAGATGGAGGAGAAGCGATAATTGCGCGAGGAAGGTAACAAGAAAACACCGGATTCTGTGGTTCCGTTTGCGTGTTTCTCTCGCGAACGTTCTTTTTTTTTTTTGGTGATGAAAGAAAGGAGAATTGCGATCACTTTGCAAATTGCGGCGGAAGCGTCAGTAAAAAATTGTAACCGCGACGCCACTCGAGACTTCCGGTACGCGATCGAAGGACGAGGAACACACCGGAAGCGCGTTCGATCGCGACGAGGTAACATTGACATTTCCGCGTTGCCTATTTCTTCGCGCCACGTCACGGTGTGTTTGCGTAATATATGTTTAAGTTCTTGAAAACCCCTGAGGACTTGAAGAACTCTTCTTCATTTTCAACATGAGTCTCTGTAATTATTCTTTTATGAATTTTAATGTAATTTTAATTATATTTACATGACATAACCATGTATATCCATATATGTATATATATAATATATATATGCTTTAGATAAGAAATAAAAAATAAACATTGAGTCGCACAACGCGCTATCTAGATGTAAGGACTTTAATATCTTATAGCATCCTAATTTTTAAAATATTAGGAATTTAACACAAAAGATTTTTCTATTATTACGTCTATATAGAATTTGAGAAATAAAAGCGTGTATTATCGATAAAAATATATTTTGAGTATATTTAGTTGTTTTTTAAATATTTCATAATTTTTAAAAGATTCTTATAAGATACTTATTAAACGGAGAGAAATTTTTTTAAATTTATCTTGAAAATATGGTAGTTGTGATACAATGCAATATTTTAAAGATTTTTACCGTGCACTTCAGTAAAATTGACCAAACTTATTTTATACTTTATTCTATTCTAAGAAAAAATTATTAAATTGCTTGTCAATTTAATATGTAATATTATTACTTTAATTCTGTTTGTAATTGCGTTTCAAGACTGAAAAAAGATTTCGGTGCGCAATTTGCAGAATTGGATGTAGATATATATAAATTCATATGAAATACTTTAACAGATCCGCATTAAGATCCGCTTTTTAATCGAAAATAGGATTATTTCTCTTAATTGATTTATTCTCGTCGGTCTATTTGATTATAATTGTTTTTTTTAGTCTTATATTCTGTTCTTTCCTCTCTCTCTCTCTCTCTCTCTCTCTCTCTCTCTCTCTTCTTCATGCCGACATTTTCTTTCTTTTTTTCTCAATGCAATAGAGTGTCACGTGGAGGACCTGCAGTGATGACCTTGATTATATCGTCTTGTTTACGATCGATCCTATAACTTAACGACCGGGTTTCCCGACGCGAAAAAGCTCTCGACTGATCATCGTCGCAAATGTGTTTACGCTGTCGCGTGTCGAATAGCTCAAAAGTCTTTACGTAGAAGTGACTGTGATAATCGTGCAGATAGCGCAGCACAGATAGTAGTAACTGTCATTCGCCATCACGTATCGTGACAGCTACGTGTCTTATGTTGACATGTAATAAATATTACCGGAAGTGAACCTCTTAACGCTCGGTATCGCGGAAGGCGTGAATCAGCCACGTAAATGACTATAAATGAGCAGATTAAGATAATAAAAGATTCTTGTAAATGTGTCCTAAAGCGTGGCATTACCGAAGTGTGCATCTCGCTAATTACGCTAACATTAAAGTCTTGTTCCTAGCACGAAGATAAAAGCACTGAAGTAATATATGCATTCAATGGTATAATAATATTCGCGATTCATCTCCCACGTCTTTGAATCAGCAATCGTTTTTTTTCCCCCGTTACGATAATTGTATTTAAATCGAATCGATGGCCCGCGAGTTGAAATGCATGAGGTGACA